CCGCCTTTGAGGGGTAGTGTTTTGGACAAGCAAATGTTTAGCTGATAAAGTTTGAAAAAGCTCCTGGGGTCTCATAACTCATCTCAGAAATTTCCCTGAGGCTGAAACCTAATAACGTGGTGCCTGAGTGGGCAATAATAGCAATTACATTTTGAAGTGTGCTGTTATACTGAACTGTTGAAACGTAAGACGAGACAGGTCTTCATTTTTTTTCACATTTCTCCTTTGCAGCATCAGTATTTCGCAGACAGGCCAGCTAGTGCACGCATTGACTGGGATCGAATTGACTGGCAAGCTCTGGATGCATCATCAAACCCATTTAGTTTGAGTAATAATGTCGAGAAAACTAAACCCGCGGAACAACTGGAACAAATTTTGACTGGACATGCGGAATTGGTCACGGAACCCGTGGAAAACAGTGCCACAAAAGAGGCAGAATCTATCCTAGCCAAAACGGAAAGCAAAGTAAAGGCAACAGATGGCACGTTGACGGAAATATCAGGAACTACAGAGCATGCGAGGAGCGAAAAACATTGTGACATCCGGAACGTCAGCTCGGCGGAAAATGTTGAACAAAGTTTAGCTGAAAAAGACGGAGTCAAAATCGATTCAGAACTAGCTTTAGAAAGTAAGTGAACAGCTCATTTTACGTGGGAGGAATCGCTGATGCACAAAGCCTAATTGTATGTGTTGACATGCCTGAAAAAACCGATACTCATTTTGCATTCCACACAGGATTCTCCGAAACCTGTCCAAGTTATTTGTCACCTACTATGTGCAACGGAAGACGGATTGCTGTTCCCTGGAACCACAGCTTGCAGAACTCGCTTACATGCAGCGCGTCAGATTTAGTGTTCACAAACTGCTGCCCGTTTGCTAGTAGTATGAGGAAATGCGGAAATTTCAGTGGGTGGGTTTTCGCCCTTTAAGAGAAGTCATTTCAAGCCGACAGCAGTAAAGCACTACACAGCTGTGTCATACTTATTGGGTCTCATCAGCAGTGCCCCTCTATCAATCCTCCAGGGACTCCCGAAATCGTGACCTTGAAAACCAAACCTTTGGAGCTTGATCGGTTGATCACTAGTGTGATAAACTAGCACCAAGAAAGGATGAAGTACCACTCATCTTTCAAACACGAAATTTACATCACGTGGTCACGTGTTGACTGGCTCCTCAAGTCAGATAGAAATTTCATTCGTCGTCCGTTTTATCATTCCTTTTAATCTACTTGTATTTTGTTGATAATATGATAAGATTTAGGCGATTCTCCTGTCACTAGTTTCAAGTCATTCTGTCATGGCATTGTCATCTGTACTTGTAGAACAAAGGCATTGTTGTGCAATTGATATAGTAAACAATTCTGTCTCAAAATTTTCATCATAAAAACGTTCAGGTGGATTATTTGTACTCTGTTGATAACGATGTTCGGTTAGTTTGTGCCTTATTCGCTGGGATGCTCGTTTTTAATAAAAGATATTAAAACAAAGCAACAGAGTGTAGCAAACGGGGAAAACCAAAAGGCCCTAAAGTGCAATTGCCGTCGAGAACGGCAGTAACACTCCCGAGACGCTCGACGCATGTTGTGCTAACAATCATATTTTTGTAAAATTCAAATTTGTGACACTCTACTCACCAGTGGTTTTCGTACGATTGGTCTACAGGTGCTCCGGAGGTGGATACAAGTAGACCTGAGCGAGTGAGTTATCATTTTGTACATCAAACAAAACTCTACAAAGTAGTTACGTCACCGCTTTATGTTCCAATCCTTTTCCCAGCGTAGCCCGTTCATGTTCCTTCATTGTATTTTCGGCACATTTACTGACGAAAAGAATTGAGGTGGAAAACCTAGAATGGGACCTTGTTTTTGAATCTGGCAGAATCTTGTGAGAAAAAACCACACCAAGTATTGGAGTAAAAGCGTGATGTAAAAAAATTTTGATATGATGACTGATCGATTACATGCATTTTCCAATACAATGCCTAAAATGTTTCCTCAGAATATGTGAAAGCGAGTGTGACAAATTCTAATTCTGTGGGTTTTTCGATCACAGTTCATTGGTACTGCGGTTCTTTTTTGATAAGAAGTTCCTCTGAATTTTTCCTACATGTTCTATAACAAATAAACAGTGGCATTATCCTTAAAGATAGCTCATTTTAATACGCCACTTTATTGGTCCTTTACTATGTTTATTCCTAGGCATATGATTCGCATTCTAAAAAATAAGTGCCAGAATATTATAGCTTAGCCTCTATTTTGCCCAAGTCATGTTACGGTTCTGTCACGCAGCAAGCAAACAATATGATAATGCGGATTGTGGCAATACTCTATCCCCAGCTATGTTGCTTGACTCCTAGCACGGCGAATAGTAAGAAGACGAAAACCTCGGACATAAACTTTAATAATCCAACAACACACGGTCAACAGGCGATGCCCGGAGCTTCCGAACCCAAGTCAGTGGAAAGAATGGAATCCTGTACGTGGTCGGATTTAAATCTCCTTGGAGTATCAATAGGCCATTGATTTTTCATAGTTTGACCTTGAAGATGCCGGGAGTTCGCTAGCACACATAAAAACACAGCGTTTTCTGGGGGAGATTCATATCCCCAACAAGTCGCTCTAGGATGGAAAGGCTGTCGTTAACAAAATGCCCGTTATACCAACGTTTTAATAGCCTAAAAAACGTCACGTTTTAACGCTTCTTGTTACGGTGAAAGCCTCAAAAATGACTGTATTTTGGCTCCAGATCTAAACTGGATTAGGTTGTGATCGGTGTTTGTTTGCAATAATTCAACTAATATTGTTTTTGAAAGTTTGGGCTGAAGAAGGCTCAGTGCTTAAAGCGAAAACTTCCCGACCGGAGGGTTCACGGTTGAAACTCGACCGCCATATCTTGACTTCTCCTTTCTCGGCTTGATCAACCTAGGAGTATCTCGGCCCCTGTGCTTTTCAATAGCTAGGCACCGGCTAAAACCGGGGTGGTTTGACATGTTCGAATAGTTGAACGATCAAGTTCCATCGTGTTTTACATTCGAAAACCAGATTATATGTACACAAACAAGATGAAAAGCAAAAAAGTGGAAAAAATGTTTTCTACAGTTGCGCAAAAGTTGGACAAAAGGCTTATAGTAAAACTCGCGTTTCTTAATTTAAAAAAAGGTCTATACAACGGCTGATTTATCCGTCTAGTTTGTTGATCGTATCTGTAAAACTTTATTAACATGTGAAAAATCACAAGAACTCAAAAGCTTTGCAAAGTTGAAGGTTTACGTAAATCTACATTTGAAATTAGTTTAATTTCCAAGTGAATTTTTCGGGCCACCACATATGGAGTTTGGTGTTCGAGTGATGACGATAATCGATGAAATTTCGGCAATCCTGCCGCCTTAGAGCGTTTCAAGTAGAAATGTTTTTTTAGTTTTTGCCACAAGGGCAAATGCCCTTTTATATCCACCATGGTCTAACTGAATCACTAAACAGCCCTTGTAAAACAAATGTATTTAGAGAATATGTTGATGAGGAATTTGTTCTGTTATGGCGTCCGAAAATCAGCTTTTGACTTTATCGTCATTAAGGTCATTGAATTCGGTTTACTTTTTTGACTTTTGACAGATATTCTCAGACATTTCAGTCATCACTCACGTCTCACATGCAGCTATGCAACATGATGGTTGCAAAAGCGATAATTTTCACAATCTATAGTTTACACGTAAAAATTTGAAAAAGTTAACGTTATTCTCAAAGATTAGTGCAAACGAAACACTGGTCTTATCTATCACATTTGCCTCGCATGGGTTAATTTCTTGTGGGTTTCTTGAACTCACACAACGGGCGGAGTTTCCTTATTTCAGTCAGAAATGCATTATTACTCTAGAAATTAACCTAATGACAGCAATTCGGTACTTCATAGACATTTGGTGCGCAGCGCGTGACGCAAAAAGTTTAGTTTAGCTCTTTAATTTGCCCTCTAAGCACGATACAGATACACGTGCGACAGTATGGGAAGTAAATGGTCAGGGTTTTTTTTCGCGAAGTCGAACTTTTACAAACGTCCATCAATCTTGGTCATACTCATACTGGCTGGATCACGTGGTGGTTGGTCACGTGAAGCCAGGACATTGGGTTTGGTTCGATCGATATTGCTTCCCAAAATAGCCGGGTGCGGGTTCGAAGATCCACATGAACGGATATCTGTAATGTATTGTATACCGGCTTTACCAAAAATGTACAAGCGTATTGAAGGACTGACTTAATGCCCACATGCTTGTTCGTTCATGCACCTGTCACTGTTAATATGCGTAAAAGTTGACGTCTCTATGAAGCGTCTCACATCAATAAGTATCAAATAAAATTCACAAATCGAGTTTTCTGTGAAAATCATAGACCGTTTTGGGACAGAGCATTCTCGGATGAAAGTCTTGGCAGCATGGACGGTCCACTGAATTATCCGTTAAATATAGGCTATTTACGCTAACGGGAATAAAAATTATACCTCTGTAGTATGCTACTCATAAGGTTGCTGAAAATCCGTCGACAGCCCACAAGCGGTTTCGCCCATTTTGGAGCTCATCAGGTAGGCGCAGTCCCCGGGTTTCCGTCAACGCTTTCCGTTCTACTTGGAACCAAATTGCACAAAATGAGCGAATATACAGTCATTTGCAAACGAATTTGGTTTTGTGAGAAACATTTTGTTCCTGAGTGCATATTAAGAGGTGGGTTAATTAAAACAGTTGTTAGATTAATTTATGCTTATTTTACTAATATAATACCCATGCAAGTGTAACTTCAATGTCTAACTGTTGTCTGAGTAATCTTTTCCAATTTGTTCAAAAGTATCCGAGTACTACTGGGAGGAGAATTCGAACGTAAGCGGTTATTGATCATCTACTGAATCGGAACCATTGTCCAATGCTTATATGTTCTAATCTCAGCCTCACTAGTATATTAAAATTAGAGACAGTGTTAGAAATGATCACATATAGGCCATCCAGAGGGCTGTATCCAACAGAGACAGTCGAATTTGCTAAGGACGAGGTTCGAGTCCAGTGCTTGTCCATTTGGCGCGCCGAAAGAAAAGAAAAACCAATTAACATGTCGAAACGGTGATGTGTGATAATTAAAATGGTATGAAATTCGGAGGGACAAGCTTGAAATACCTGGACATATATTGCGATACTTGGGAATCGTTTAAATTTAGGCAAGCCCATTTAAATACATTTTTATCAAACGTCGGTCCTCATATAAAAAAGAACAATTGTTGTCCGCTTTAGCTGCTTGCGTCACCATCGGATAAAGTTGCCAAATATGGAAGTAGAACAAGCCAGATCACACAACAAACAGATAGGTTAATCAACATTGATACACTCGTTGTCAACAGGTAACGTGTTCTTGCTTTAAGTCAAGCATTGTGCTTTATTTGGGAAGATGTTCTACGCATTCTTGGATATATATATACTTAGTTAGCGCAAGGCACAAACCGAAAAGCCCGTGGTTCGTACCCAACCCTGGCATCTTGATTGTTCCTGTCTCAGCTTGGACGGTTTCCCAGCCCTCGTGCTTCTTTCGGGTGGCATGACAGCTAGGCACCAAAAGGGTCTTCCAGCTGAACAAGTATTACTACTCACTTTTTTAAATTTCTGGATCAGACGGAGAGTTATCCATGATTTTGTTGCCCTTAAATGCAACATGTTACTCTCACTTTTAGCATTTACTGTTGCTTTGAAATAGCCGCTACTTAGAGGGAAATTAGCCTAGCGAGTACGCTCGTCTGTACAGATTTGTATCACATACGTATACATGGGTTTGCTGAACATCTGGGACCACGCCATGGACTATCATGGAGGTTAACTGTTATCGGTGTTTGGCCGGTAGTATGTAACAGGCGACATGATATAGACGACCCCATCCATTTCAATTGATGCGGGTTGGCAGTTATAAACAAAAATTGTGTTTTACTGACTAAGTCATGATATGCATTATCCATTGTATGAAAAATTTACGGTCTCCTTGGTTCGCATTTAACTGGCTAAAATTTCCTTCCTTTGACAGGAAACCGACCAATGGTCACAACCTTCCCGAGATGAGCATAAGATCGACTTGAAAAATGTTGGTGAATTGTCGGATCCGATCGGAAGCAAGATTGTTAGCGCTGAACCAAAGACTTTAAAACATGAAGCCAACACTCTTGAAAGTGAAAAGACAAGTGACCTTGAAAATACGGTTACCACAGAATCTAACGTCCAGCGAACGGACACACAAACCGTTCCTGTTGAGGATCAAGAACACAAAAATGAGGGTAGGTTTGTTTAAAAAGAATACCTATAATAATATAATGATATAAAAAGCGACACTGTCAGTTTCTCGGTGTTTCTGTTACCCCAAATAATGAATTTTCAGGTGATACAGTTGACTGAACTGTCCTACGTATCTTACCCCATTACTTGAAAATATCTTGGTCTCAAGGTTCTTAAAATCAGGACAAGAGATGGTGCTGTTTGATACAAGTACACATATGCTTGCATTTATGGTGAGCCATCAGCTTACTTGCATCACTCCAAATATACATTCATGTTTGACAAGCACTACCAAACACCGTCTGCTAAGATGCTCCTAACGAATTAGAATGTATGCAATTTGCTATATGATTTCATCTACCTCACGGTTCGGCATGCGCTTCACACCTGCAAAGTTTAAGGTGCTACTGCAAGACTGGGTGAGCTCGAACCCTAGCCTCATGCTTGCGGATGAACCGATTGAGATACTAGACAAACTTGTTTACATAGGCAGATATTTCAGTCCCGGTAGTCTCGCGAAAGATGATATTTTCATCCGGATTGGAAAGGCCAGAGCAGCTTTTGTGAACCGGCGTCACCTGTGACGTAGGCGTGACATCAGCTCCTCTGTCAAGGGTCGAGTTTGCAGTGCTGCGGTGCGCTCCATATTACTGTACGGATCGGAAACCTGGCCATTGCGCGCCGAGGGCGTCAAAACACTTTCGGTGGTGACCATCGATGTCTACGGAACATTGCCAACAATGCTGAATTTCATCGAATGGTATTCGGGAGAAATAACTCACCCCCGAGAGATGAACTCATCACACGACATCGGTTGCGCTGGCTTGGCAACGTGCTGTGTAGGCCAGAGGACCGACTTCCTTGAAGGGCTCTTTTCGCAGAACCAAGTGGAGGGTGAAAGAGAGCCAGAGGCGGTCGAACAATGACTCGGCAGCGAAGTGTGAAGGCCATTACCAGCAAACTCAGCCACGCTGGTCATTACCGTCTTCCGGGATGGGACCTCGAGACGGACCATATCAATGGTTGGAGACATTGTCAGACATGGCTCAGTCGCGCCCTAAATGGCGCTTGTGCATCCAAGCTATTGCCTTCAATGCATAGCTCCCTTCCCCATTCCCCCACTTAGCAGTCAACCTACAGTGCTGTATCTACGCACGAATTGATCAGCTCCCGCCTCCAGTGTGCAGCTACCTACCCCACCTTCCCGAATCACCGGTGAACGAAACTGTGGCAGCTACAACCACTGTACGACAAGTACGCGGTTATTACAACTGACTACAGCTGACAACGATGATGATGATGATGATGATGATGATGATGGTTTTATTTTTTTTTTACCAAATTTTCCTGAGAATGGTTTTAAATGCGTTACATTATGAAAGATGCTTGTCCACATGTTAAAAAAATTGGAAAGCAAATTCGGTCACCCACAACATAATTCAAACGACTAATACTTAGAAGGCCCAAGTGTTCGGTCACAAGCTACTAGTCAGTAGTATGATTAACTCGCACTTAGCAGGATATAGCGCCACCGATCATTCACCCATTGCATTCACATCATATGATCACGTGTACGTGGTGCTTCGCGGTTTTTTTCCATAGATTAGCTTCACTCACCGGATAAAATCTCAGTTGAAACATTTCGAAATCTTTCCGGACTAGCCCACATATAGTTCAGAGGATGACGAGCGAGCTTCCCATACGAGAAGTTGCCGCCCAAGAATCTACTCAACAAGTAACCATGTGATGTGGATTCTCTAATTGGAGAATGAGAGCGATCCTGTATTCTGTATGAGCTAACGGGATCAGCTGCCGGTTACCAAACGATTAGGTGTTCGAACCAACTGTAGGGATTCAAAAAGCCTTTCATTTTTGTGAGATCCGTAATTCTGATGGTTCAGATTAAGGGCGAGACCAGAGGACAGTTTTAAAGCCCATCAGTGAAGGTTGACTTTACTGAAGGGACAAAAGCTTTTCAAATCCCATCAGTTCATCGAACAATAGAGGGTCCAGTCTTATACCGATTAGAGAAATGGCAAATACCAAACCAAAAGTAACAATACCACACGCCTTTTTGATCGCCGAGAGACAGCTTCATTTGAGTTGAAAACTGGATCGATTTACTGGATGCTCTAGTGTGCCTGGCTACTGAATTTGTTCTTCACCTGAGCAGTTGTATATTTCATACAAAAATTACTTTGCTGTTGCCACTAAGAGTATAAATGTTATATTAAAGGAACACCACATAAAATGCAGTTTGGGATTTTAAGAGTTCTGTTCTGTGAGCATAATTCTTGGTTGTACGGTGATACCTCGACAATCAAGGGAGTTATGTGCAATATGAGGACAGCTGGTCAAAATCGAGCGAGGACAGAGCCCACGTTCATCGGGCTCCAAGCTAATCATCTGTGATCACTATAAGACAAAATGTCCTTTGGGTCTCCAAGACTTTCCACATCTACAAAATTTATTTTAAGAGTCCTGTCGCGCTGCTATTGCCGTAATTTAGATGTCTATATCATCTATTCTGTTCAAGGTTCCGATTCTAATATGATTTTGTCACAAGGGCGAAATCCACAGTTTGGTGTTTCATCTATTTTACAGACCATCCTGGCGAAAATCTTGCTTGCGGGGAGCCGAAAGATGTCAGTACCTCACACACAACCAATGTGAGTTCAGCTTCGATTCATCTTGCTTGAAAGTTGAAATGTTTACTTCAACTATGGAGGTTGAACAACAGTAGACCGGACATTATGCTGCTGAATACCCCAACCAGGAAACTTTTCAGTTGTCATGAACCTATTGATGTAATTAGTATTGTCCTGATCGACTAGCCTTCAGAGTACAACTACGAGTGGGTCATTTGTTAGAGCTTACAGGTAGCTTTTTATCGATGATTTACGTTGATATGTTGCAAACCAATCGCTTTTGAATTCGCCCTTCTACCGATACTAATATCATTGTTTTAGGAAGCTCAACATGAACTCGTCTTCAAGGAAAACTCTGGCAACTTGTGTAGTACTAAGGCTATTCTTTAGCTTACATACAGAGTAAACAATCATTAGAGCAGCGCTGGTCTTAGTTGTGGTCATTTGCGATAATTTTTGAATTCCTCTTTTGTTTTGCACAACCAGGTGGGCTTTCGCGGTTCCATCGACCCTCTTGGGACTGGAATTCATGTGTTTATAGCTACCCATGGGCTTTAGAGTTCACCTGAACAGAATTCACAAGAGTGAAAATGACAAATGCCCAGTATTTGTAGACGGTTTGTGGATCATGACATTTTATCGGAGATTTCATTTTGTAAATAAAGGCAGTCTATGCTGAAAAAACTGAGTAGAACTGGACAAGTGTTTCTTACTTTGGGATTTTTAGTTGAGTAAATTCCACTAGGCGACGCAAAGATTCATATTCACAGCTTATTGGTCAGTAGCTGAACGTTTTGTCATTCGGTCACGAATGGTCGAACAGAAGTGTGATTGACGTTCAGTAATGCGTCATGTGATCCTGACTCGATCAATCAGCCGAGCGACAATTTCTCAATGGAGGACTCACACAGAATGTGCGATCAGAGTTAGTTATGAGGTACAGATAATGGGGTTCTAAACTCACGAGGGAACTTTTATCCTGGAGGAAAATTCGACCTACAGTGAAAACCCATGAATCATTGTAAACCGGCTTAGTCTCCTTTGGAAATCACTAACAATCTCAACGGAGGACTCACGCAGAATGTGCGATCAGTTAGTTATGAGGTGCAGATAATGAGGTTCTAAACTAACGAGGAAACTTTTATCCTGGACGTGAAGTCGACCTATAGTGAAAAGCCAGGAATCATTGTAAACCGGCTTAGTCTCCTTTGGAAATCGCTAACAACGCGCATGTTCCCAGAGACTTGCCAAATGCGCGCTGGAAATTTTTCGTAACACTGCCTTGCTGCTATTCAGTGTAGGTCTATATTACAAAATATCACTGTTTATATTAGTCGTCTTTAGTTTTAGATATACTTATTGTTGTACACACAACAATACACACTTTTAGTATGTAACAAAAAAGTTAGATCCATTCGGCCACGAGTCTGGCCACGAACCGTGATGGATTCTATGATCGTATGGCCAACTAATCTGTGGGAGGGTCAACTTGAGTCAGTGAGTTTAGGACAAAGCACAGTGCAACAGAATAAGCCGGCCATTTCTCTAAATAATTAGAAGTGATCATTCAAAATCTGATACAAGCCAAACGCACGATGATCTGAAAGAGTGAACAGGATCGTGTGCTTTTCCGTTCTTACGTCTGATCCAGGTTACTGCAAAAGTGAAGATTTAAGAGGACTTTAGTATGCATTATCGATTACAAATTTTCAACCACTAGAAAAGACACTGAAGATTACCGAAACAAATAAACTACCTTTTTATATCGTCTAAACGTCCGAAAGTGGTGCATACACACCGATAGGCCCTTCAAATCGCACTTCGCATCTTGGACAGGTTTTGAGTAGATACTTCATGGAGTTTTTTTCTAAAAGAGGACAAGATTAGGTGAAATTTCAGATTTCCTAGTGGGAGTGCGATGCCATTGTATGTGTACACCCGCAGCTGGATGACATGTTTGCCCTTCCTACGAAAACATCTAGTATCCTGCACCAGTTTGAATTTCCTAGGTGGGCAGGAGTACAAAGATAACTATTTTGTCAGGTAACTTCTACCTAATTGGACATACTGAATTAACCTCACTAGTAGTGTGTGATTACCTCAAATTCGTGGAGGTAAGAGGAAACTCGGTCCTGATGGGGGCCGATGGACCGAGTGGTTAGAGCGTGCATTTAATGACCGGAAGGTCCTTGGTTCAAACCCAACTCCCTGCTGCTCGACTCTCGCTGTCTAGGCTTGGACAACCAGGCAGTATCCCAACCCTCGTGCCTCCTTCATGTGGCATGGCAGCTAGGCACCGAAAGGGTGCTACAGCTTAACGATGCTGATGCTGGTCCTGATTCCCGTTTGTGTTTTATCGGGGATGACTTGGTTTTCTAAGTGCCACTTTGGTGTAGATGTCTTGACGAGCGTTTGAAATATTTAAGCTCATCCTAACATTGAGAAGCGATCAGATCAATAAATCCCTGTTAAAGCAAGGAATATCAACACTGTACCGGCAATCACTATCGGTCTTAGGGTACAGTAGTGCAGGAAGTGCGACGGCGGACTGAAAACACGAAATAGAACACAACTACTTATGAGTAATACGCAGGAGGAAATTTGTGATATTTCGTCACAGCAATGAAAAGTTCCAACCTATTTATCACATTGGTGACAATCTGAACGGTAACAGATACCGAGATAACCAGGTCCTGAGGCTTTTTTGAATTCTACCTAGCGATCTTCACAATGACACCGTTGTGCGTCGATCTTCATTATAAAAACTCAACGATGGGTCCCAAGACGGATGAAACCGGTCGTGGGCCATCGAAGAGTTGTCAGGAACCTGTTGAACAGCTTTCTTCAAAAAATTCAAATCCTTCTGAACGATTTTTGTACCTTCTAACTATAATAAAGAAAATAGTCAACTAGTTCAAAGTTAAGTTTTGCCGTAGCTTCACCGCGACTGCTCAATCACTGCTAAATATTTCATTTTTCCGAAAAGAAGGTTAGCCATCGGCAATGTGTGTTTGATGCTCATATTTTTAGAACAAGTCGAACCAACAAACGCTTTAGCGCGTATGTTATCAGTCCTTATCACTTTTAGTATCCTAGTATTTCTTGATCATATTGAATGAGATCACCCCGTGCGTCCATTCATG